TATCCGGAGATTCTATTCTTTCTGAAGGGAAATTTCGGTCGGTTTCTCCTGAGATGACGATGAGTACTCGAAGAGTTCGATGGGATGAGTAGGCACCTTTCGGACGGAACACAACAGACCAAAGAAATAATACCGGTATAGGATATTACTCCTCAAGTGAAGTCAGTCTTTATTGAAGCTGTTTATATACATGATTGGGAAGGGTCAGTCCGGTGTTACACATCGGATAATGTGAAAAGCAATTATCGATATATAGAACGCGAGTAGAGCAATTCAAATATGTACCGCCACGCGCGAGTCGTTATTTACGATCTTGCTCAACTACTCGATGCTGTTAACCATGAGATAGGAAAATACGAAATAAAGTCAGTTAACCTGTAATTTCCATCATTCCCTCCCTTTTTCCGTAATCCATGGTTAGGGCTAGGCGTTTGTGGCGGACTTTTTCCGGGAATATCGCGGACCTGTGGCGGATCTCCCCACCAAAAATCGTCGACTTATGGCGGATGCTTTGTCGACGAATCGCGCTAACTCGGGAAAAAGACAAGGGCAGCTTCATGGCTCCGAACAATCAAAACGAAAGCTCATGCTGATGTTTGTCTGCTGTCGTCAATTACCTTATGCTACCTAGGAGGCTTGAAGCTAGGACCAGAACTCACATTTCGTTACTGTTATGATTAAGCATATTGTACATGCTGAGATTCTTACTTTTTATACAACGTCTATCATCTCGAAGAACAGTCGCGCATTTCCTGAAAGATCTCTCAGCCGAAACACTGTTGCCGGGTACACTCAGACAAGTCAGAGCGATCTTCGCCAATTCGGGAAACGAGCCGTCGCATTTATCCACAAAACTATCGGATGAGACGAAGCCTCGAGTTTTCTCCTGGCCGACAAGTATAGTCGGAGTTCAGCCTTCCCCGGATCGTTTTCCTCGAACCACAGTATATTTTCGATGACGTAGCCGGCTTCGATCTCGATTGATTTCAACTTCGCGGGGTCGAATACGCGACAGGCGCGGAAGAAGTCCGCAGCTGATAAGGATATCTCGCCATCGATGGTCCCCTTGAAAGCTATCGAACGGGATGCGGGGTCTGTCACGGGAGGAGTCAAACTGACCATGTTTATCCCGTGAAAAAAACTCCGAAATTCGCGGAAGGTGGGCATTCCGGCCGAAAATCGCGGATTTCATGGCGGATGTGGCGGCCGCCACAAACGCCTAGCCCTATCCATGGTGAATGAACCTAGTTGATCATTCTGCTAGTCTAGGTTATCACGTAAACACTGATTCTAGAATGCGCGGGAAAATTCAAATGTTGAAGTCTACCAAATTTGGAGCATAAAAGTCCGCGCTCGGAGAGCGACTTTGTCTTCGTGATCTATTGTCATGTTACACGCATCTCCAAATCTCCAGTGAGTAGGCATTGTTTCATCCTCTTCGATGATTTCTGAGATTTGTGAGAAAAATTTCATGGCTGAATATGAGCTGTGTTCACAGTGATGGACTCTGCCGATCTCGACACAAGTTTACTCGGAAGATCTTCGCAAGAATCCTCAGATGATTCTCACAATCCCAGTGTCAATGGATCTTCCGATGAGATGTCACCAGGTCTCTATAAACAGCTCCTGCGCAGGATTGAGCTCATTGAGTTACAGCTTGCCAATCAAGCCACCGTGAATCCTCTGTCTTCTTCGAAAAACGCACGACAAGCACCGAGAATGAAGGATGACGTATCCGTCCAAGTTTCCGAACCGTCGCCAAAACCCGGACCCTCCTCAGCGCCAGATCCTGAGTCATCGACGTCAGTTTCATCGCATACTGTGAACATTGAAGAGCCCCGTTTCTCGCCACCTCGGTCAGCCCCTTGTGAATATCGGAAGTGTTTCATTGCTCCGAGTATCGTTTCATGGCTTAAAATTATTATGGTTCTTCTAGGGTTTTTTACGTTAATCTGGATCGCGCTGATTCTTGGTTTGGAGTTGTCAGGCAAACTGACGCCGGACAGTTTGAGCTTGAGCTTAACCCCGACCAGAACACCTCAAACCTCCGCGTTACCTTCATCTGAGACGTTAAGGCTCCTCCCCCATATTGTTCGACGAGTGTATCGAAATGATACCACCACGTCTTCAACTACTGTGAGCCCTTTGATCATTTCTGATCCGTCTTACAAGATAAACTTGCGAGGCTCTCACTGTCTGGAGTTATCTGAGGTTTATATGTGTAGGCTTCTCAATTTTGATTGTGTTTATGGTAAGGAGGATTTCACCCAAATGTCCATTATAGATGCCTATCTCGTTCATACAGGTCCCCAGCTGTCCAACGAAGCCGAAAGGGAATTTTTTCAAAAATTGTGTAAGGGAGCCTATCTGTTACCATACCAGCCGCCCGCGGCAGACGATCTCTCATCAATAAATCACGATCATCATGACTGTCGCTCTAGGACAAGTCTTGTCAATATCACATGGCGCAGTCGCGAATTTTCAAGGAAATTTATAGTGATTAAGTGGAATATAACAACTCAAACAGCACCATGGAGCAACACTGGCTCATCGCCCCGAAGCCCATGAAAGCGAAGGTAGGAGAAGACAACACCGAAGCCTGGCAAGCATTCGAAGAGTCATTCAACGATTTCGCGCTCCTCGACAAACTCTACAAAGAATCGCCCGGGATACAGATGGCGAAATTCCGAACAATTTTCGGCGAAGAAAACAGGGACATGATCCGAAACCTGGACATAGGAGTGATCGACGTTGACGCGTTCGACCCGAGCGGGAACCAACCGTGCAAGCGACTACGAAACACGCTCGCAGCCTTACGGAAACGATTCAGCGCTCATCGGAACGTCCTCTATCAGAGATTTGTTCTCTACAGATCACGCCAAACAGTAACGAAGACCACGAAAGACTTCCACCAGAGATTAGACCGACAGGTCAGAAGATGCGACTTCGGAGCCGAATCATAAACTATGTTAAGAGACATACTCATACTGGGTACGAAGCACACGAAAGCACAAGAGATGTGCTTCAAAGAAGACTTCAACAAACTCGACGTCAATCGCACTCTCCAGATAATCGAGATGGTAGAAGATAACGAAAAGACAATCAAACACATCTCAGATAACCAGCAGCCCATCGAACAGGTCAACGCAGTTAAAACACGGAACCACCCGACCCGAAAAACACATTGGGACTGCAGCTATTGCGGGTCTCACCACCCGCCCAGGAGATGCCCAGCCTTCAACCAAACGTGCACCATCTGTAAGAAGCGCGGACACCTTCCCTCGGTATGCCGAATCTCATTCCGGAACAATAAACGAGACCCCACAAGAGCTAACATCAACGCAGTCGAAGACCAAAGCGACCAGGGAGGGTCGGAATCCGAAGCATGGCAGGCCGAGGAAGACATCTACGAATTACATGACTCCCGGAAAACGTCGAGAAAACTATGCATCACGCTTTCCGTCCAATCCGAAAAAAGCGAGCGACATCGTCACTCACCGCTCTATTGGACACGGGCGCGACCGTCAACGTAATAGGCGTTCGAACAATCACGAAAATCAGAAGAAAAGGAATAAAACTCCCCGATATAGACACCTCGAAGAGAATCACCCTCACGATGTTCGACAAAAGCTCAACGAAAACTCTAGGAACCATCGAAATACCAGTACGACGGAAAGGAAGAGAGCAAATCCTAAAATTCCTGGTCGTGAAGGGCGATGTCGACACCATACTATCAGCTCGAACATGCCTCGACTTGGAATTGATCAATACAGCAGACGAAGTCCAATACGTGAATCAGGTGAACACGGGAGGTTACGAGAACCGCCTGCTGAATCTCACTAAGGGATTCCGAGATATCTTCGAAGGCTTGGGTAAGTTACCCCAAAGCGTTAAGATTCACATAAAACCTAACGCGATACCGGTCCAGCAGCCACCACGCCGCATGCCAGTAGCACTAGTCGAACCCCTGGTCAGTCGATTGAGAGAAATGGAGGCAGCCGGTATCATCGAAAGAGTCGACCACCCAACAGAGTGGGTAAGCAACATAGTCCTCAAGAGTAGGACTGACGAGGACCCAGACATCCGACTCCAGGGCGAGAAAATCCAAATTAAGAAACACGCGAAATACCTGGGGGTCGTCTTGGAGCAAAACCTGACGGGAAAGACGCACATTGAAGAGACTCTGAAGAGAGCAACACAAATGGCCGCCAGTACGGCCAGGATACTACCGAGGACGTACGGAGCGAGCGAAGCCCAGAGGAGGATGCTAGCTACGGTGTCCGAATCGATCGCACTGTATGGAGCTCCAATCTGGGCTCCGAAAGCTCTCGC